GCCGAGCTGGGGCCCCAGGCCGCCGCGGCCCGGGAGATGCGGCGGGAGCATGTTCCCTAGGGCCGACCCAAGCTGTCGGCCGGAGATACCCACGCCCGCCGGGTTGTATCACGCACGCGTGGGGTTCTGCCTATTATTTTTCTTTTAATTTGATCGAAGGGGAGAAGGTAGGGAGTGAGAAAACAAATCTTCTGGTCCAGGACTAGAAGGGCCGTGGGCTATGTGGGAGTCCAGCACCTTAACCACCACACAACCGGCCAGCCTCGTTACTGTTTTGGTTTTTTTTTGGAGAGGTTTTTGCTATAGGGCGCGTGCGCTCAGACAGACAGAGAGACAGAAAGCGAGAAATCACCCCCCAGGGGGGATGGCCACAGCCGCAATCCCTTCTCCTCCATTCTCCTCTGGGATCTTGGGCAGCACCCACACGTCCCTGGTGTGAGTTTTAAGCCACCGGGTCTGGGATTCAGATCCCGGTCGACTACGTGAGATTCCAGTGACATAGCCATTTACGCTAACTGCTGGTTCCCTCATTACTGGTTTTTAATTTGAGCAGAGAGAAAGTGAGAAAGCGAGACCCCCACCCGGGACTCGAGTCCAAATAACGGTTGTCCATGTGGGACTACAGTGCCTTAACCATCTGGCCACTTGCGTCCCAAGGAGGCTTTTAATAAGTGACAGGTCGGGACCAGTAGATGGCGGAATGGTCATGTCGCCGAACTCCCATGTTGTCGACCGTGGTTTGAGGCCCTGTCCCAGCGGCTTAAAACTCATGGCGGGTGCATGTGCACGGGTGCCCAAGATCCCGAGGAGAATGGAGAAGGGGTCGAGATTGCAGTGTGATAATCCCGCAGGGTGATTTCTCACTTTCTCTGGTGAGCGCCTGCACCCCATGGCAAAAATCTCTCTAAAAAATAAGTAATTTGGAGGACCAGCAGATGGATTGGTGGTTAAGGCGCTGGACATTCCCACATGGCTGACCATGGTTCAAGTCCTGGACCTGTTGGCTTGCTTTCTCACTTTCTCTGTGTCTCTCTGGTTAAAATAAGTAAGTAAATAAATAAAATTAAAAATAATAATTCTTTAAAAAATAAATAATTCATCCATGTGATACTAGTGCCATTCATTAAACAAAAAAGTAACAGCGACAGTTCTTTCAGCGCTCACTGCTCATTTTTCCAGCATCTGGTAGTTTGGCCCTCCTAAATTCCCAAGCAAGTCGTTAGTTACTCCCCTTTACAAGGGTCTGACAATAGCACTCATCCTACCACTTGCTCACCCTGCCTTTTATCCAGAGGTGGAGTCTAAGTAAACTTGTGAAGGCAGGTCGATTGTTTCCTTGTCACCAGCTTGGTCATCAGTCCTTCAGGAAGGGGCTGAAGGGTCACTGCAGGGGCAATTTGGCCTGGGACCGATTCATGAACATAAAAAGCCAGACATTTCTCCACACGTGAGTGTGTCCTCTTGTCTATAGATAATGCCCTATGGCAAAATACAAACTCTTTTGAGGGCCAGCTCAAAGGGCACTTGGGAGCAGGCTGTCCCAGCTCCCCAGGTCTGGTTTCAGTTGTTACATTACCACTGAAGTGTTGAAATTAGTTTGCTTGCAAGTCAGAGCTTTGCAGGAATTGTTGGCTCAGGCTCTAGTTCCAGAGCTTAACATCATGCAGTAGATCAAAAATGTTGTAAGCTGTGAGTCAGCTGGTGGTATGATGGGTAAGGCGACTGGATCCCATATGGCTGAGTGCATGGTTCAAGTCCCAGACCTGGAGGCTGGAAAAAAATGCTGGCCCATGTGCATGGGTGTCCAGAATCCGAGGAATGGAGCAGGGGTTGCTGCGTGGCCATGGCCCCTTGGGAATCTTCCTTTTTTCTCCCACTATCTCATAGCTAAATAGTAAATAAATACATTTCAACTGTGCTAACTGGGCCCTGTTTTAGGGCTGGGCTGAGATGTTGAGTATTTTCCCCAAAGGCTGACTCCACGGCAGTGCTCTGTCTGGTCTTCCCCATCCCTTAGGCAGCACCAAGGTTCACATGTACCAGGTGACAGTGAGTGACAACAGGGTGCAGTAGTATAATGATGGAACTGAGACCGAGAACGGTTTGGGGTCCCGGTCTCTTAAAACCAGTATCCCACATGGCCGACGATGGTTTGAGTCTGGGACCTGGTGGCTTGCTCTCTCTCTTTCTCTCTCTCCCCTTCTCTTATCTAATTAAAAAATAAGGACAAATAAGTATTTTTAAAAAAATACTAGAAATCTCTTGACAAGGCAAGATAAAGCAGGCCTTGATGGATTTACAGGGGAAGGAGGAGTTCTGTAACAGAAAAGGTAGACTTGCGCTAAGAGGTCGAGGGCATAGGAGGGAGGCTCAGCAGGGGCCAGCTGGGGAACATGAGTAGAGTGAACATGCAAATAAGTAAACCTCATGGAAACAGTACTTTCAGGGGTCAGCAGGTGGCACAGTGGTTAAGGTACTGGACTCCACGTGGCCATCAGGTTCAAGTCCTGAACCTGATGGCTTACTTTCTCACTTTCTCTCTGGTGAGCACATGTGCCTTATAGCAAAATAAATTATTTTGAAAAATTACTTTCTCCTTTGTTATCACGGTATGAAGCAATATTAGCATCTGCCAGACACAGACAGTTGGCAAAGATGGCAACTGTAATAAAACACAGCAGCTCCTGTAGATTGTTGCCAAGTAGACTCAGGCCTGGTAGTCCTGCATAGTGTTTTAAGACAGGTATTTCTTTCTTTTATAAATATTTTATTTAATTTTATTCATCATTATTTAAGAATCATTTTATTTATTCATTTGTTTATTTCAATTTGACCAGAGAGGGACAGAGAGAGAGAGAGAAAGTGAGAAAGCAAGCCGCCAGGTCCGGGACTCAAACCACAGTCGGCCATGTGGGAATCCAGTGCCTTTAACCACCACGCCACTTGCCAGCCCACATCATCATTATTTTAATTTGAAGAGAAAAAGAGAAAGAAAGCAAGCTGCAAGGTCCTGGACTTGAATGATGATGGCCGTAAGTCCAGTGCCTTACCCACCACACCACCTGCTGGCCCAAGACAGGTATTTCTTGATTTTAGAAGTGCTGACAGCAAATTGCAACTTAAATAGTGTGCCAACCAAAACCTGCCCGTGGGTCCAGTCCTCTTCTTAGGTGCTTGTCTGTAATCTCTGCTTTTGGAACTGACCTGAACCAGCGAGGATAGTTTAGTGAACTGTCGGGTTGTTGGAAAAGTCATGACTTTGTTTTTTAAGTTGTTTTTGCCTCAGAGTGCATGCACTTGCCCAGGAGAGCAAGGCAGAGACGGTGAAAGGGAGAGTGAGAAATCACCTGCCGGGGATGGCCATGCTGCAAGGGATCTTGGGCATGCATGCACACGTGACCAGTGTGACTTTTCAAGCCACTTGCTCCAGGACTCAAACCATAGTTGGCCATGTGGCGGTACAGCGACAGAACCATTATGCTATCTGCTGGCCCCCCATGACATATTTTTCTATGCAAAAGTGTATCATGACTTTTCTGATGACCCAATATTTGATTTCCACAGGCTCAGAGTTGTGGAGTGGTGATGAAATTACACCAAAATTGTTTCAACAAGCTCTAGAAATGGCCGACTAAAGTACAGTGACGGAGCCGCGACCAGTGGTTATTGGTGTGGGTAGTCAATGAGACACCCATGGAGCCTGCTAGAACTTCCGGAGAGGGATGTTCACTGTCTTGTGACAATGGCTTCATGGGTGCCTATGTCTCAACTTACCAAGTTGTATACTTTATTGCGTGTCGATTATATTTCAGTAAAGCATATTTAATTAAAACTTAGCAGGAGCAGGTTGGTGTAGTTCTCACTCCCACTGATAAAGTACAAGTTTATACACCCTTTCACTTCCCAAACCCCCGCCTAGGGCCACTCCAAACCACAGACGATGATTTAGAACTCTGCAACAGTTTTTTATTTTTTGCCTTATAGCTATTACAGTGTTTGAAACCTAAAGAAATACATTTTCTCTTCAAATTTGGATGTGTATATAAATATCATTTGTCTGGACTCAGCACACTCCACGCCATGGTTTCTTGGCCTATGTTTGCTCTGAAATCATCAAGCTTTGTCTACCTAGGGGCCCTGAGAACATGGAAAACAGCCAGAGTTTATAGATCTTAGAAAAATAAAAGCAAATGACTTCAGAAAGAAAAACCACTGAGAAGAGTTTGACTCCCCTTCCTCGGGCCCACAGCTGGAGACCCAAGCTGTTCTTGGGAGTCAGTGTCTTCTGGGTGACTGGGACCTTATACTTCCCTCCTTCCACAGGTCCAAGGCAGTTCCCAAAGAGTTGGCTAAAAAGGCCACCGCCCAACTCGAGGCCGTGAAGCCACACATATCTGGACTCTTTAGGGACACCCTAGTCTGAGGTTCCCAGCCAGTCCCTGGCTCTGTCTGCGCTTGACCCCGTTCCCTGCCCCAGGCCATGGCATACCGCTCTCTTCCCGCAAACCCAGAAATGGAAACTGGTCCTGTCCCAGGGCTGGCATTTAGAAGGATTCAGGTATGCCCTCCTGTGGGTATCAGAAGTCAGGCTGACTCACAAGCGTCTGAGTAGGTGCAGAGTCACGCAAGACACTCCGGAGCAGACACATGTGCCCTAGTGCACTCTGGGTGTGGCGGGTGCTGCCTTCCCAGCTGTATCTTGGAGCCATCTTCTGTACAAAGCCCAGGCCCTCAGAGGAAAAAGAACAGCTTCACCTCACAGATTTGGTCTTAGATTCTTCCCTTGCCATGGTTCAAACCGAGGGGTGGGGCTAGGAGCTGGGCAACAAGATGATGGACTCACTGACACAGGCCTCGGCCAGAGGGCCAGCACCCAGGACGTGGAACTCTGCAGTCAGGTGCTCGGCTTCACAAAAGATCCAAATGTACACTGAACAAGCCTGGTCTAGACTCCACTCCTGTGGCTGTGGAAGAGCTACTCTGAGCACTCTCAGGGTCACCCGGCCTCTCCAGTAGCACAACCTGGAAGATGTTCCTGCTTGTCACGAGCCTACCCCACAGTTCAGCGTATGGAGCCTTGTGCCCTTCTCCGGCCGGCCAGGGAGGCCCCAGCCGGCCTGTTCTCCCTGCCATCCCCATTAGTACCTACAGGGATCTGGAGAAAGGGGCTCCTTGCCTTCAACTGAACATCCAGTCTGAGCCCATGAGCCAGATCTGTCGGGAATACTGAGATGGACACCGAGTGGAGTAGGTCTGGGGAGAAGAGACGAGGCCTGGACACAGGGGCCTTCAGGGCGGGTTGGTATTGCTGGGCTTTCTCCTTCCCTTCTGTTTGCCAGAAACAAATATGACTCGAGGGTATGGGGGGAGGCAGCTACACAGGAGAAAATGGAAATAAACTCACTCTGCGTTTTCGTTTTAAACTGGTTTGTGCCTAAGAGCCCTCTCTGTCCTCAGCTGGGCACGGCAGCAGCTGTTATCTGTGCAGTTAGGCTCCAAACACGGTCTGGAAGGTGGCTTCCCAGGCAGAGGAGAAGTGGCAAACCTAAGGTTCTAGTGAGGAGGGACACTCCTTTGGAAGGGTCATTTGCACTCACTGCCCCTGCTGCTAACCAGCAGAGGGCTCTACCCAAAGGCAGCGGCCTGCATCTGGGCCATGAGGCGCTGGAGCAGCTGCAACTGAAGGCAGGCTCCTAGAGATCGGAGACTCTGTGGGTACAACACGGGATCTGGGGGTGGGCTACCTGGAGGGCTGGCCGTAACAACAGCCGGCACTCCGGACAGCGTTTCCACATGTCAGCTAAGTCAAAGGCGCTGTTCCTCAACGCACAGCTAGATAGCTCCACCCCCACCGCAGACCTAAAATGATTTCTCAGTCACGTGTCAACATACTGGACTCCAATAACGTGCCTCCAGCAGGCTGGAACCCCTCAATCTGGGCAAGAACTATTCAGGCATCTGTCAGAAACACTGACCTCACTTAGGCCACAGTTTGGAGTCCGGATGGGGGCTGGACTGGCTCTTAAACCTGGGCTAAAGAAGTCCTATTATGTTTCCCAAAATGGCCAAAGGAGAGGAGGAGATGCAGATGATGGTGTCACTCCCTCCGTGAGCGGAAAGAACTTCCCTGTGCACTGAAAGAGGGCTGAGGAGGGTAATGAGAAAGCGGGGTCTGGGGAGACACGAAGAGAAGCTCTGGCGAGGTATCCCTCGTTTTGTGCCCCCAGGAGAATCCAGCCTCTGAACTCCAGAGAGGAAACTGGCTCTAAGCAGCAGCTGATGACCTAGTCTTCCACTCGGTGCAGGTCCCAGATCTGAGGCCAAAGCGGATCCCAGAAGAATGGCTGGGAAGTCAGGGTAAAGACGCCTCACAATAAGAATCGCCCTGGGACAGGGACTTCGCCAGTGCTTGCGATGCAGACTAGACCTTACTACGCTGCTCTGCCTCGGGATGGAGATGAGGAAGGAGGGCAGAGTTTTCCCTTGAACCGCGGAATGGGTTTTATAATGGATACAGCAGACAACATGGAAAGGTCCTGCCTCTTGCCTTCCTGGGAGTTAGAGGCGCTGGTCACCACTTCCACGCTGGCGAGTGCCATCTGACTCACCAGGTGGCACAACACTAGGGTGATTTTTTCAGTGGTAACTGCCAGCCCTAAGCCACCGTCTTCAGAAAATGGTTCTGGAGCGGGAACTCAACACTAGAACAAGAAGGAAAATTCAAGATCGATGGCTGACGGTGAGCACCCGGATTTCAGATCTGTAAGCAGAGGGACACAGATCTCCCCTAAGTCAGAAGGTGTGTAGGGATGGAGCAAGCAGGGCACTGTCCCTGGGGAAGGAGATGTGCAGCACGGAGCAGGACACCTCTGACCAAGCACAGTGCGGGAGACGAGGGCAGGACAGGCTGCCCCACGCGGGGCGGGTCTACGCAGTGCTAACAACTTCACCAGCTGGGCTCTGCTCTCACTCAGGCACCAGCGAGACACTGAGGCACTGCACTAGCTTTACTCAGAAAGAAAAGGCATCTGGATTGTCCGTGTCACAGACGGGAACTCCAGCCAGGCACGAGGGTCCCAAGCAGGGAAGCTACCCAGAGCTCTCGCGAAGCACCCAGCGGCTAAGGCTCCTGGCTGATAGCACAGGAAGCCGAGGGCTAACTGCCGTGGACAGCAGCCTCTGGGTCAACCTGAGAAGGCAGACTGCTTTCCGGCTTACTGACAAGAGCCACAGGGTGGCAGGACTGCCCGGGCCCCAAGGCTGTCCTCACTCCCTGTAGGTACTGGGACCGTCAGGCCAGGCTGACCTTTTACAAAGGTTTCAGAGCTGGGCGTCGGTCCCAGGCCCCAAGGCTGTCCCAGAATCCAAACACAAAGGAAAAGGACCGAGCTCCGGCGGCATTCCGAGCGAGGGAGCTCCCACGCCTCTTTTTGGTCTTCCTCACAGTATCCGACTTGCAGAAATTACACAGCTCTTCTTGAGACCAGTTAAGGTTGGCTTACCTAATATATAGAATATAAAAAAATACAGAACTTTTTGACATTCTCCCCTTTGGAAGTAAAATATACATGATCCAACAATGGAAGAGGAAGAAGAAGAAGAAAGGCCAAAGGCAGGGATCCCTGATTACCCCAATATATGACACTCTCACTCCAACCTCCCCTGCAACTTCCGGGTCACTAGAGCAAAGACTTTCTCCTCAGGAGAAAGAAAGGACCTCAGCCCCTCTATCTTGAGCTTAGGAGGAAATACAGCCACCTCAAAGGTTCGTTCAACTCCGAGGGGAATTTTCAAGTAAACAACTGAAGTTGGGTCGCACCATTTGGAAGGTAGGAGGGAAAAGTGGGATCAGTAGCTACACGTGGGGAGCCCCGTCTCCAGGCCCGTGCCCTCCCTTCTCCTCCCACTGGTGCTCCTGCCCCAGGAGAGTGAGCAGAATCTCCCAACCTACAAAGGTCTGGGCAAGGGGTCAGAGTGAAAGGCCTTAGTCTCGCAGTGGCCTCTCCATCAGCCTCTAGTCCCAGACAATGCTGGCAGCTAAAGAGTCCTAAAACCAGGAACTCGTGGCTCTCGGGAAGAGCATCTTAATACAAGAAACATGTGCAAAAGAAAAAAATTAAATAACTCAATCCAAGCATACGAGATTAATATTCTGTCAGAGCAGGAACACTTTGTTTTGGACTTCTCCCTCCCCCCACCTCCCACCTCTGGAATATTCCATCTGCTCAAGTACCCAAGACAAGAGTTACACAGATCAGGGCAGAGGACTGGGAAGGATGAAGGAAGATGGAAGGGCAGTAAGTCACCATTAAAGAAAAAAAAGGTGCAAATCGATGACCTCAGTCCTCCTTTGTCTACCCCTGGGCTCCTAGGTTAAAGACATGTGTGCAGCCGAAATAGAGTGTAAGGAAGAAAACCCAACACGTCCCCTTCTTGTCACAAACCCAAGTGTGAGCCTCAGATGGTTCTGTCTGTCCGGAGGGTGCTCCCTCCAGGGAAGGGGCGGGGCAGGTCAAGAGCACAGTCTCCAGGGCAGCGGTGTGGTGCTGACGGAGGGGCTTCCCCCCAGAGGGCTCTCTTCCGCTGGTCGGTGGTGCTTCCACGCCCTCCCCTCCCCAAGGCAGACATTATAGCTGGAAGCCCTCCATGGGGGCCTCTGGCTGCTGGAAGATGAACTGCTGCTGCGTCTCATCCACCTGGGGAGCCAAGCTGCTGTCGTCGTCTTCTACGCCGAAGTAGTGCTCGATGAGGTCGAAGGCCTTCTGGTAGATCTCCTGGTTCTCGTGGCTCTGGAGAAACTCAATTTTGTCCAAGCCTACGGTGGCAGGAAGACACAGGGAAGTGAAGTGTTAGTGCTGTCCTACAGGTACGCGAGACATTTACCCGTCTTTCCCTGAGGCATGCCAGTGCTTTCCAACACAGTCACATGATCGGATCACTGCAAATTTTTTAAAAAGAATTATTTTATTTTATTATCATTATTTTTTAATAGAGAAAGAGAGAGTGAAAAGGCCAACTACCAGATCTGAGACTCGAACTGGGATCAGCCATGTGAGTCTAGTGCGCCAGCTACCACGCTACCTGCCGGTCCTCAGGTCACTCTTTGACCTGAGAAAGGAGTCAAGGTCTCGTACCGAGAGGCCAGCAGATAGCATAATGGTTACGTCGCTGGACTCCCACATGGCAGACTGCGGCTCAAGTCCAGGACCTGGTGGCTTCAAACTCACACCGGATGCATGTGCATGTGCGCCCAAAATCCCAAGAGGAGAGCAGAGGCAAAGGGACTGTAGCGTGGCCATCTTCCTTGGGGAGTGATTTCTTGCTTTCTGTCTCTCTTTCTCTCCAGTGAGTGCATGCGCTCAATAGCAAAAATCCCTCTTAAAAAAAAAAATCTCGTCCCAAGAAATAGGATCCCAAAGAAAAGAGACCAAACTGTCAGTTATACATTAGAAATTGTAGTCCTGATTCTGCTTTAAACCAGCTGCATGACTTGGGCAAATCATTAGTCTCTCTTCTCAGAGAGGGGTAATTAGGCAATTCAGAACTCTTTTTTCGGGAACCAGCAGTTAGCATAATGGCTATGTCGCTGGACTCCCATGTAGTCGACCGCAGTTTGAGTCCCAGCCTGGTGACTTAAACTCACACCCGGTGCATGTGCGTGCGTGCCCAAGATCCCGAGAGGAGACTGGAGGAGAAGGGATTGCGGCGTGGCCATCCCCCCTGGGGGGGCGATTTTTCACTTTCTAACTCTCTGTCTCTTTCTGGCAAGCGCATGCATCCTATAGCAAAAAGCTCTCCAAAAAAAAAGAAAAGAAAGAAAGAAAACGGGCGGGGAGGAGCAGGGCATGGGGTGGGGGTGAGGGCAGCAGGTGGTGTAGTGGTTAAGGCACTGTACTCCCATGTGGCTGACTGCAGTTTGAGTCCTAGACCCGGTGGCTTGAAATTCAGGCCAGGGCATGGGCATAAGTACCCAAAATCTCAAGAGGAGAATGGAGGAGAAGGGACTGTTATGTAGCCAACCCCCTTGGGGGGTGACTTCTCACCTTCTGTGTCTCTATCTCTGTCTCTCTGGTGAGCGGACATGCCCTATAGTGAAAATCTCTCAAAAAAAACAACAACAAAAAACAGAAACAAAGAGAATTGACCTACTGCTCCTCAGAGGGAGAAGGAACTGGTGGGATAAAACCCTGGATGCAAAAGATGAGACAAATCTAAATCCCGGCTCTTCCCTGGCTACACAGCACATGCCTGTTACTCCATGGGTCATCTGATTCCCTGTGGATGGTCGCTTTGGTCAGAACAGGAGTTCTCAACTGTCTGGAAACAGGGATCATGGGAGCTATAACATATACAGGTACACCCCACCACCCTTCTCTCCCATGTACGTGTACCATTTTGGAGGTCTACAGTCCCTGGTTCTGACCTAAAACCGCTCTACTTAAGGCAGAGGTGAGGTGGGAGAGACAACATACCGTAGGCCTCCTCGATGAGGCCACAGTAGGGATTGACCCCCGAGCCACTGCGCTTGCCCTCCTGCTCGCCAAGCCGCAGAATGTTCTCTAGTCCATTGAGGGCCACTTGTACAATCTTCGAGTCCATTACGGTCAGCAGGTCACACAAAGGTTTGATGCAGCCCAGTGAGACTAGGTACCTGCAGGGCCAGAGACCAGGCAAGTGAGGTGCTGGGCAGGAGCTCTGTCTGTGGGTTCTCTCGTGTGTGGCCACGCTTCCTGAGTCTTGATGACCACCCTCCCATCACTGTGGGTCTAGTTCACTGCACATCTGGACGTGACCAGAGACTCTTTGCCTGCAGCATCTCCCTGACCGCAGTATAGCACTCTGAACACATCTCCCTCCCGATTAAAACCCTCCTAGGCCTCCTGTCTTCCCTGAGTCCAGATGATGCGGCACGACAGTACGGACTCCCCGTTGTCTGCACTGCCTCCTTTCCCAGCTCTGCCTCCCGCGACTTCCCGGGGCACGACGTTCCACTCAAACTCGTGACAGTCCCAGGTGTGGGGTCTTGCACTTCTGTTTAGCTTTCTCCTGTTGGAAAGCCTTTACGATCCTGTATTTATCCTTCAGAGCTTAACTCAGTGGCTTTCTCTCTCCCCTTGAGCTCACAGTGCTGGCTGTACTCCCTTTAGTCAGCTACACAGGGAGCCGAGCACCCTACCCAGCGCCTCCACCCTGCGAACGTCCGGGTAACGCGAACAAAAGGTGCACTCATAACAGTTCCCCAGTGATGCCTCCCAAGTCTCACTCCTCAAAATGATTTCCCAAAATCTGTTCTGTCTGAGCCACAGAATGGTTTGCCTTCACTTGTAAGAACTGAGCAGAGATTAGCTCTCTAGAAGGTAGGAAGAGGTAGGAGGGATGTCTACTTTATACGTTTCTGTCTTCCAGGAGGGAAAAGTGGTACCACACGTCACAGGTGACAAGAATCTGCTCCAGATTCCAGCGTCACTGTGGCAGCTGACCAGTCAGGCTCTAGAGCAGTCGAACTGGCGGCAGGCCTAGCCCAGTGAAAGCAGTTCAGAGGTCATGTGTAAACCATCAGCAAAGGGGGAGCATGCCTCATTCGGGACAACGGGAGAGGAATGTGCTACCTGATCTGCTCAGGGGTCCCTCCTGATGTGGCATTGGTGATGGCCCAGGCTGCTTCCTTCCTTGTTCGAAATTCGGCTTTCTGAAGGATTTCAATCAACACAGGGAAGATGTTTGCATCTATGACAGCCTGAGAGAGCAGTGAGGCAGGGGAGAGAGTTACTCCACGGAAGAAAGCAAGTTCGGCCCCCAATCAACGGAGACGTGGACATCTTTTTCCTCCCAGGAGCTCTCTGTTCCTCCAGGCAGGGGCCGTCTGCAGAGGAGCTCAGCCTCAGCTATGCAGAAGCTCTGAGCAACAGTGTAAGCTACCTTCGATTTTTAAAGGGAAACCAACACCCTGACCCCCGCGTCCCTGTGCCTCCCCATGCCCCTCGAGCGTCCTGCTTTCCCACCTGGATCTGAGCCCGGTTGCCAGCAGTGATGTTTGAAATGGTCCAGCAAGCTTCCTTCCGGATCGACTCCTTGGGGCTGCTCAGTAAGTGGAGGAGACAAGGGAGCGCTGAACAGTTGAGAATGACCTGGGACCCAGAGCACAGGGAACAGTGGGGAGTCAGGCAAACTGGGCTGCTCAGAATGTAGAACTTTCGTGCATCAAGACACCATCAATAACAGTGACAAGGCAAAACCACAGGAGAGAAAATATATGCAAAGCATGTACCTTGTAAGGGATTAATGTCCAGAACATACAAAGAACTCCTGTAACTAAGCAACAGAAACACTCAAATAGCCCAATTTAAGAATGACCAGAGTACGTGAAGGTACTATTGCTCACAAAAAGGTAGGAGGTGGCCAGTAAACACATGCTCGACGTCACCATCTACAGGGAAAGCACCAAGCGGAGCCACGGAACAGCACCTGACCCCTGGAGGATGCTGTTACCGCAACAGAAAAGTGTTGATGGAATGTGGAAACTGGAACCTGGTGCAAAACAGTACAGAAGTTCCCCCTCAACATTAAACACTCTGGACTGGGGGCTGGCAGGTGGCATGGTGGTTCAGGGCGCTGGACTCCCAAGTGGCTGACCATGGTTTGAGTCCCAGACCTGGTGCTTGCTTTCGCAATTTCCCTTTCTCTCTCTCTTTCTTGCTCTGTCCCTCTCTGGTCAAATAGAAAGAAAGAAAAGAAAGAAATGATGAAAGGAAAGAAAGAAAAGAAAGGGAAGAAGAGAGGAAGAGAGAAAGAGAGGAGGGAAAGAAGAAAGGAAAAAAAATTAAATAAAATAATCCTTAAAAACAAAACAAAACAAAACACTGGACTGGCTTTGTGGCATAGCAATAACGTGCTGCTTGAGAGAAGTGAGACCCCCACGGGGCGGCTGTGGTTCAAATCCCGGCCTGGTCAGCCTGAGACACGCTGAGCACACGTGGGAGTGTGGGGTCTGAGAGGCAGAGACCTGAAGGAGGGGCTGAGGCACAGCCAGGCCTTGTAGAGGGAGCCCCTCTCGCTCCCTTCTCACATGCATGTTCTTTATCAGGAATAAAGAAAAAAAATTTAATGAAATTACCATATGATCAACTAATTCCCCTTCTGGGGACACATTCGAAAGGACTGATGGCAGAGTCAAAACAGCCCGAACCCAGTGGGCATGGCAGCAGCACTCCCGCAGCTCCGTGGCACAAACGGCCCGATGCGCGTCAGTGGGTGAGTGGATCGACTCCTCGGGGGTGTTAGTTAGCCTTCAATGGGAAGGGGGGCTGGCCTGTAAGCCAGTCCTTAAGGGAGCCAGATCCTGTGATATGAATCCTGGCCCCAGCGGCTTGAAAAACGTGCCAGGGACATGTGTCCCAAATCCCAGCAGGACAGAGGAGCGGAGAGGGGACTGCAGCATGACGCGCCGTTGGTGGTGCTTTCTCCGTCTCTCAGGTGAGCACACTGGCTCTCTGACAAGCAGTGAAAAGTCTGATACATGCTCCACCATGCAAGAATCTTGAAGATACTATATGCCACGTGACTGAGGCAGACATAAAAGGGAAACCCTGTATGAGGCTACTCAGTGTAGTCAAACAGTGAGAGAAAGCAGAAGGGTGGTTACTGGGGTTGTTCATTAAGTGTCGAGTTTCGGTGTGGGAAGATGAAAATTCTCTGTAGACAGATGTGATCACTGAACTGTACATTGGAAACGGTCACATTAGAGAGCGCTCTGCTACACGTCAGTGTGTGTACGCACACGTACATGCACAGAAGTGACCTGGATGCAGACGGGCTCCAGCGAGTACTCCCTGAGAAGCCTGCCACGGATCCCCAAGTTACACCAACTGCTCAAGACCAGAGGAGAGCCAGCTCTCTAGCTTCTGGGCAAGGGAACCTTCCTTACTGTGCCCTCACTGAGGGGGTCACCAACATGAGGCAGAACCCTAAAGTCTAGGAGGGGGAGTGGGGTACCTCAGCTTTCAGCATCTCAAAGGGACCATTACTCAAACTCGGCAGGCCCTTACGAGGTCCAATGGCCGGTATGAAGACCAGTTATTCCACTTAGCGTCCCTTCACAAGCATTCACTGGGTGACAATTGGCTTCCGATGTACAGAAGAAAAGCAGGAACCAAACTGCCCGTGGTCTGAGTGGCAGGGCTGGGATTTGTTACCCAAGCCGTGTGCACTCTCCTGGACCATGCTGCCTCCCGCCAGACCTGGGGTCCTTGGCAGGGAGGGTTCTCGTCCATAGGCAGCTCTCTATGATGCCCTCTCATGGCTGGTCTGCAAAGAGCCTGCACCCTCCTTACCTGGGTCTGGATGTCGTCCCCAGTGACGATGTTACCCACAGCTCTCAGAGCGGGAGAAGCCACTTTGTAATCGTTGTGCCTGCAGAAGGAAGACCTGGTCAGCAGAGGTCAGCACACCATATCCAGCTCTGCTGACCCCCACAGCTGGCAGCTTGCTCAAGGCTCCAGACCTTTGGAGAGGGCAGCAAACAGCTGCCTGCAGCTCTTGGCCTGAGCTTGGAGAAGTTTAGGGAACCTGTGCCCTCTCGGAGACCACTCACATCAGAAGCTCTACCAATCTCCGGCAGACTCCAGAGTCTATAACCGCCTGGATCTTCTCGTTGGGGCCGTCAGACAGGTAAGAGAGGGCCCAGCAAGCATCTGCCAGCAGGTCTGAGTCACTGCTGAAGAGCAGGCGGGACAGGACAGGCAAACAAGGAGACACCTGTTGGAAATGGTGAGAAGGGTTCAAAGGGCAGGACGTCAGCACCACCAGCCCTAACACTGCTCCTGCCGTCCCCGCCGCCATCCGAGACCTGTGGCTCTCTACGACATGACTCTTCAGGCCTACCTCTCCACTTTGCCCCGTGGGCACACAAGATCATCAGCTTCATTGATAACTGCCTCCTTTTCAGTTTCCCATGCTTTGAGACTCTCAGGAGGACACCCAAAGACTTTAAAATGCGACATAAAAGAACCTGCTTTGGCTCAAGTACTGGTAAGTAGCTTGCTCACCTTTGCAAACTCTGGGGGTGGGTTCTTCCCTCGGCAGAGGTTGGACAGGGCCCAGACTGCATTCCGCGTCATGGTCAGCCGTGTGGATTTGGTAAGGAGTCTGAAGGAAATAGCAAAGCCAGATCTTGAGCACAGGTGCCCTGGCATAGGGCTGCTGCCAAGAAGCCTGTGGGAAAGCCACACCGAGGCCAAGACCTGACCTAACGGAGCACTAGTCTGGACTGGCGCTGGCCTCCGCAGAGCAGCCCTGTGTAGGCCTGGCTGTGTGAGCACAAGAGGACCAGCTCTTGGGCAGGCCTGTAAAGCTTCAAAAGCAGAGCGTGCTATGCCCCGGTCCTGGCCACAAGCCCTAGGCGGGAGGAGTGCCCTGAGAAGAAAGCCCCAGGTCTCCTGGGGGGCTGCAGCAGCACTATGTCATGGCTTTCTGAGGGCCTGAGAGTGGCGGGGGGGGGGGAGGACCAGCTCTTGGGCAGGCCTGTAAAGCTTCAAAAGCAGAGCGTGCTATGCCCCGGTCCTGGCCACAAGCCCTAGGCGGGAGGAGTGCCCTGAGAAGAAAGCCCCAGGTCTCCTGGGGGGCTGCAGCAGCACTATGTCATGGCTTTCTGAGGGCCTGAGAGTGGCGGGGCCAGTGAGCTGTGGTCTCTGACGAGCAGCTCGTTGTCATTTCGTTTTAGATACAGCGTACTCTTAAGGGCAAGGAAGGCCAGTGCGAGAGGACCCCAGAAGACACTTCCAACGGCCTCTGGTCTGTGACTGACAAAGCTGCCCACTGTCCCTACACACGACCCCACAGCAAATCAATGCATTCCGTAAGGGTGGACTCTCCCAGGGGGGCCAGTCTCGCCTTGCTCCCCGGCTCCACGACGAGGGACATGTGGCTAGGCTCTGCGGAGCCAGGTGCCAAGCAAGGCCTTCCTTGGCAGACTGCGGCACATCCTCTTACTCTCACGAGATCTTCACCTCGGCCGTCAGACTGCACTCTGAGAGCTTTTGAACTTACATCATCTTAAGGGACCTGGCCCCAAATAACCAGCCGGGTGGCCACCAACAGATGCCCAGGTGTGGATGACTAATTACTCACGTTAACAAAGGATTGAGGATGGAACAGTTCAAGACGTAATCTCGGCAAACGGAGCTGTCTCCAGCTATGTTTCCCAGTGCCCAGACTGCCTGGAAAGGGGATGAGGGAACTGTCACCCACAGTGGCTTCTGAGTACTTTGGAATTAAAATCACAGAGCGAGTCCCCACCAGTCAAGTGCCACACCAAGGTCCGAGACCCACCAACAGGGCTCAGGAGCCTCCCTGCCGAATCCTTTTCCTAGGAGTTCTGCAGACACCAAGCCGAGGTTTCCCTGTCCCCATAGCCAGCACAGTAGACAGTGACCAGAAAGCTGCATGCTCTGAACCAAACCTATACATGGAACCCTCAAAAACTCAGAGAATATACTTATTATGGAAAACTATGCGTGGGTTTCAAAAAACTTTTTTGCAGGGAACCAGCAGTAGCGTAATGGCTATGTCGCTGGACTCCCACATAGTCGACCGCAGTTCACGTCCCGGACAGAAAGCGAGAAATCACCCCCCGGGGCGATGGCCACGCCGCAATCCCTTCTCCTCCATTCTCCTCTCGGGATCTTGGGCACGCACACACATACACCTGGTATGAGTTTAGGCCACTGGATCTGGGGTTCGAACCACGGTCAACTACATGGAAGTCCTGTGACACAGCCATTACGCCAACTGCTGGTCCCTAAATTAGGACTTTAATTCAATTTTCCTACTAACTGTTTTTTTTTGTTCATTAGATTTTTGCCATAGGGTGAGTGTACTTGCTGAAGAGACAGAAAGGGAAACTGAGAAAGCACCCCCCCAGGGGAGATGGCCATGCTGCAATTCCTTCTCCTCTATTCTCCTCTTGAGATTTTGGGCATGTACGCACACGTGCCTGGCATGATTTTCAAGCTGCTGGGTCTAGGACTTGAACCATTAAGCCTGCCATGTGGGATCCAGCACCTTACCACCACGCCACCCGCTGGCCAAAAACCTTTTTATTTCTTTTCTCCACCAGAGGGGGTATGCACTCTCTGGAGAGACACAGAGAGACAGAGAGAAGAGAAGAGAGAGCACCCTCCAAGGGGATGGTCATGTTGCAATCCCTTTTCTTTTGGGGATTTTGGGCACACATGCATACATGCCTGACACGTTTCTCAACCTGCCAAGTCCGAGACTCAAACTACATGGTTGATAATTTGAGATCTTGCTGCCTCAACTGCCAGGCCATGAAGCTGGTCCTATAAACTTTTCTTTTTTAAAAAAGATTTATTTATTTATTTCATTCCATTTGTTATTATTATTATTTTTTAATCTTATGAGAGAGAGACAGAGAGGGAGAAACGAAAAGGGAGAAAGCAAGTCGCCAGGTTTGGGATTTGAACCATGGTCGACCATGTGGGAATCCAGCGCCTTTAACCAGCACGCCACCTACTGGCCCCTGCCCTATAAACTTTTAACAAAGTTTACTTATTCCTTGAGAGAGAGAGGAAAGGCAACCCCAGCAGTGTTTTGACACCTGGCCTACCTCCAGTCTCAGCTGGTCTGGATCACAACTGGGCCCTGACCCTCAGATGCTGGGAGAAGTCAAGGGACATGAACCCAGGACCTTTCCCATGTAGGTTGCTGTGTTACAACTGAACCACCATCTGGCCCTCCGTGAACTTTCTGAAGTCTGCTCATACACAGTAATGGAGGGACGGTCCCATGACCACTGTCCACGTCTACCTGATTAGCAAGAATCCCAGCGGGAGAAATGCAAGTTGTGTCTCTGGGTCCATGAGCAGCAGGACAGAGACACTGAGAGACAGGTACTGTGGTGTCTTTTCCTACTCAACCCCACTCCTGACACCTACTGTGTAAAGTTTTGCCACACCTGTAACCAATTCTTTAACATCAACAGTGCCACCTCCAGAATTCAGTCCTGACACCAAGTCCTGGAGTTAGTGCAGCCCCGACCGGTCTGTCTGCTGACACTGCTCCACTGCAGACCCAAGACCAGGGCCACCTGTACTTCTGACTAACCAGCTATACATCTGGGGGCTCCCAGAACACTCCCTTGGATTTGATAATTTGTTGAAATGACTCGTAGACATGAAGAAAACACTTTACTTACATTCACCAGTTTATTAATGAAGGACACAAGTGAGGAACAGTCAAGTGGAAGAGATCAGAAGGCCGGCTGCGGCTGGGTGGCTGCGCCGAGCGCCACGCCCTCGCCACCTTCCCAGCACAGCACTGTGCTCCCGACCCGACCCCGACGCTGCCCTGGAGCCGCTGTCAAGCCCTGTGTCAATCTAACCAAGCTCAGCACCCCTCCCCTCCCCAGGGAGGGCTGAGGGTCCTCTCCCTCCAGCCCTGTGTCAGGCCCCTGGTGACCAGTCCCATTCCAAGGCTGCCAGGACGAGTCGCTCAGGACAGACTCGGGTGTGTCTAAAGGGGTCTACACAAAACAGTCCCGGTACCCGGGACCCCAGGGCCTGCGGAGCACCGCGCCTCGATCTGGGAAGAAGCTAAGTGTATCTGCTACGCTGCAGGCACCGTCGAGAACTAAGCCAAGTCCGAGCATTACCTGCTCCTGTACATCCTCAAAGTCCGAGTTAAGCAGCTCTATAAAAATGGGGACGGCCCCTGCTTCAATGACAATTTTGGTCTGCTGAGAGGTTCCAGAGGCGATGTTCGTTAGAGCCCACGCAGCTTCAAACTGAAAGGAGATCACGCCGTGGTCAAGGCCACTCCAGGCTGAGCAGGGTGTCTCTCAGCTGGCTCCTAACAGCCAGCCTCCCGCCCACGAACTAGAAACTCCACCAGACACAATCCTTCCCTCTCCTCCCTTTAGGTGGAGACGCAGTGATGTGGGCGTGGGCTCGGGGGGCTCGGTTAGTCCTGCGCCCACCTGGCCCTCTGACAAGTCACTTTGGCTACTTTCTGAGCTTCACTGATATTTCCAAACAAGGATTAAAGTGAGACGGGTTTCTCAAAGTTCCTGTCAGATCGGTTTCTGAGGAGAGAGACCCAGAAAAGCTAAATGACTTACCTCGAGTCACACAGGTAGCTGGGAGTGAATCAGACACTTATCTACGACTGACTGGCCAGTCGTCATATTCTGGGATCTTTCCTTTGGGATTATTTTAAGAAAGATTGTGGCTCTCGTCCTTGAAGCCACGACTTCTGAGGCAACCCTTCACGTTTTCTCTTATTACTGGCCTATTTCCTGAGAGATGGGTCTACAGAGAGCTCCCCCTGCAATCTGCTGGAAAAAGGGCTCTCACCTGGTAATCCCTCCCCCCGGGCCTCACCTGTAATGTACAATTCTCATTCCTCTTCAGAAACTCCACAAACCGATCCACCACCCCTGGAGTGTTGATGACTTCGTCTATCGGAGGACTAGGCTCTGGAGGCGGGGAGAAGGCAGGGAGGAAGACGGGAGGCTCTGGCTAACCCACCACTGGGGCTAGCGCACCACCCTCCTCGGTACTTCCGACCGTGCCTACAGACGTCCCCAAACTGCCCCTGATGAGATGTTTTTCACAGTGTGTGCGCGTCTTTGAACTGTCGAATCCAGCTGGGATGTGAAAGAGTAAAGGCCATCTTACTTGAGGCATTCTTACTTTGGCTCACTGGAACAGTGGTCAGGGAGCAAGGCAGACCCAAGAAATGGGCAACCCTAGTGTACACACTTCCTTCTAATGAAGACCCGAGGTCCTTGGGAGGACTGTGTGACACCTCAAAGCAGACGGAGTCTCCTAAGATACATTCCTATGTCAAGTCTTCACTGAGCACCTACTCTGCCACACGGTTATAGGAACTGAAAAACCTGGAGGTCGTGGCTCTCACAGAAGATAGTAAGACAGGAGAAAAGAATATGTAGGGCAAAGGAAGCAGGTAAAAAATACTAAAGGTTGGGCCAGCAGGTGGCATTGAGGGGTAAGGTAGTTGGATCCCACATGGTCAACCTTGCGATTCAAGTCCCAGACCCAGGGGCTTAAAAATCATGCTAGGCATGTGTGCCCCAAATGCTGAGAGGATAATGGAAGAGACGGGATTGTGGCGTGGCCATGTCCTCTGGGGGCTGATTTCTCATTTTCTCTGTCTCTCTCTGGTGAGCGCCCATGACTCCTGGCAAAAACAAACAAAAAACTAAGGGTGTGGGGTACCCCACAATTTTAGAAGAGTCAGGGTAGGCTTCAAGAAGAAGGTGGGATTTTTTTTTTTTTTTGAGAGGTTTTGTTATAAAGGTGCGTGCACTCGCCAGAGAGACAGAAAGCAAGAAATCACTCCCCGGGGGGATGGCCACGCCACAATCCCTTCTCCTCTGTTCTCCTCTTGGGGTTTCTGGCAGGAAAGAACATGCACCTGAGTTTAAGCCACCGGATCCGGGCGTCGAACCGCAGTCGACTACATGGGAGTCTAGCGACATCGTCATTACAGTAACTGCTGGTCCCGAAGGAGGTGGGATTTGACCATAGAAGGGCTACTAGGAGAGGAGTCTGTCTATCGGGAGGGACTCCCAGTGCAAAGGTGGGAAGGGGCCTGCTTGGTTAACAAGCACCAAGGCCAGAGGAGCGTGGCAGAATGAACGAAGTGGGGAGCAGCTAGTGAGAGCAGTGAAAAGAAGCCAGACGCTAAATCACGCCGGGCCTCTCTGGGGGGTCAGGCTTTGTACCTTTGGAGAGCAGTTTCCGGAATCTCTGTGTGGTGGCCAGCTGCAGATCAGAGTCATCAGAGAAGAGCGTCACCACCATCTCCCTTGTGACCACACTCTCCTAGAACACAAAGAGGGGCAGGCCTTTGCAAGCAGCCCTGGAGCCAGCCATGAGCATGGCTCCGCTGTGGCATGTGCTTTCTAAGGCGACGGCAAGAGGATGGCATGACGGGTGGGCTCCGGAGGGGGCAATTACTCTACACTGCTCTTGGCAGGACGCCTCAGAGTGAGTCCCAACCTCTGGGGCAACCACGGATTCTTCTTGGTCGCGTCCTCAGGCTATTTCTGTCAGACGAGTCCTTGGGAACTCCTGACAATGACCAGTTCAGCATGGCTGCCTCCAAGCTACCAGATGATACGAACCACCCCGTCCCCCTCTGGGGAGGAGAGGTCTCCCGGGTCCTTACCCCAGTGGTAGAGCTCACATACGAGTCCATGAGGAGGCTGTCAAACATGGCAGCTTCTTCATTAATTGGCTCCACATTTCTCCTTTTAAAAAGCTGAAAGTAAAGTGAAGAGACAGTGGTAAGACCATTCGACGAACCAGAGAAGAGGACAGCCAACGCTGCGCCGTGGTCTGACTGACACGACGCACAGGACGTGCTAGCATGGTGGAGAAACAAGACCACGCTTCGCGTGCTGACATGGAACAAATGGTCATGGGCTTTACCTTCTTCCTTTATCTTTTTTTTTTTTAATTGCCAGGAGGCACATAAACTTACCAGAGGGAGAGGGAGGAGAAAGCCCTCCCCGAGGGCATGGTCACACTGCAATCCCTTCTCTTCTATTTTTCCATTCTGGCAGGATTTTGAAAAACATGCTGGGCGCATGTACATGCATGCCCCAAATCCTGAGAGGACAACGGAGGAGAAGGGACTGTGACATGGCCATCCCCCCACCCCTGGGAAGATGCTTTCTCACATCCTCTCTCTCTGGTGACAAGTGCCCTAAGCGAAATTACAATAACAACATAAAATTAAGAGAAAAGGCAACAAGGAGGTAGACCTAGAATTCACAGTGAAGCCATAACCTAATGTCTAGGTTGGTGTGACTCAGGGAAGAGGACTAAGGGACTGATTCTCCCTTTCTCAAAGCGTCAAACATTTCTTTAGAACAAAGGAACCTGGATGATCACTAAGGAGCGAAGCTGCTTCCCTGGGGAGCAGGTTAAGTGCGCGAGGTGGGCTGAGCTGTGGTGCAGTAGTGGTGCCAAGTGCCTGCAAGGACGGAAGTCATGTGGCCGACCACAGGTTGGGGTCCTGGTCAGACTGGGTCAGCTGGGAAACATACCAGGCATGCACTGGGCAGCCAGGCGCCTGGACAGCCAGACGACCAGTGGAAGGGGAGTCCAGATGGCAAGACTGTCAGGGGCACGTCCCTCCCTCTCTCGGGTGCACGCACATGCTATCATTAAAAAGTGGGCCAATGTGGCTGGGTCACTACCAAACGGTATGTTCTCATACGCTCCAGGGAGCCCACCTGCTGCTCCCGCTTCTGCTTCCGGAGCTGAATGCCCTCCTCCTCTCGTCTTCGCCTCATTTCTTCAGGGTTTAGGGCATTGTTCTTATAGCTCTTCATCCGATAATTGTCCTTCCCTGGGCTCGCCATGGTCTCTAGAAGCGAAGATACAAACACACGGTCAGACTTTTTCTTCTACTAATTATAGGGGGTGCATGACTCACCAGAAAGAGCTGTACGGAGAGGGAGGGAGAGGGACGGAGACAGAGAAAGCACGCCTCAGCTTCCTTCATTTCTCCATCCGCTCAGGATTCTGGGCACACAGACATGCCATGTTATCAAATCACCAGGGCTGGGATTCAAACAGTGGTCAGCCATGTGAGATCTGGCTTCCTACATGCACCACTAAGGAGCCAGACCTGTTAGAAACTCTTTTTTTAAAAGAATTATTTAACTTGCGGGCCAGCAGATGGGGTGGTGGTTAAGGGCGCTGGATTCCCACATGGCCATCCATGGTTCAAGTTCCGGACCTGGCGGCTTGCACGCACGCGCTCGCTCTCTCTCTCTCTCCAACTCTGACCAAATTGAAATAAACAAATGAATAAAGTTAAATTAAAAAAAAAATTAAAAAAAGGAATTATTTAACTTGGGACCAGCAGTTAGCGTAATGGCTATGTCGCTGAATTCCCATGTAGTTGACCTCAGTTTGAGTCCTGGACCCAGTGGCTTAAACTCAAGTCGGGCGCACGTGTGTGCCTACCCAAGATCTGAGAGGAGAATGGAGGAGAAGGGATTGCAGCGTGGCCATCCCCCTGGGGAGTGATTTCTCGCTTTCTGTCTCTCTCTTTCTGGCAAGCGTACGTGCCCTATAGCAAAAACCTCTTAAAAAAATATATTATTTAACGTACAGGGTTGGCAAGTGGCATGGTGGTTGAAGGTGCTGGATTCCCACATGGCTGACTGTGCTTAGAGTCCTGGATCTGGCAGCTTGCCTTCTTCCTTTCCCCACCCTCACTATCTCTCTCTGGTCAAATTACAAAATAATAATTAAAAAAGATATAAATAAATAAATATTTGGGAAAAAAAGAAGATACTTTAAGAATTGTTTAACTTTATTTATTTATTTTAATTTGACCAGAGAGGGACAGAGTGAGAGAGAGAGAAGGAAAGTGAGAAGCAAGCCGCCAGGTCTGGGACTCAAATCGTGGTCAGCCACATGAAAGTACAGTGCCCTGAACCACCACGCCACCTTCTGGCCCGTCAGAAACTCTTAAGAGCACAGCATTTCCTCTTCCTTGGGCTGCGCTCCCTACCCACCCCCACCCTCCCCTGCTCTGGGGACCATAGTTCTCAAGGAGGCTTGCTAACTCAGTAACAATACCTGACAGCTCTCATTTTTGCCTCGATGCTAAAATTTTATTATTAACAAGTACTGGAGACCAGGAGATGCTGTAATGGTTACGTTGCTGGACTCCTAAATAGTCAATCATGTTTGAATCCTAGACCCGGTAGCTTAAAACTCATGCTGGGCGTATGTGTGAGTGTGCCCAAAATTCCAAGAGGAGAATGGAGAAGGGACTACAGCATGGTTATCCCCCCAGGGAGTGATTTCTCACTTTCTGTCTCTTCACCTCTCTGTCTCTCCAGTGAGCGCAAACTCTCTACAGCAAAAATCTCTCTTTAAAAAGCAGAGGATGAGGGGCCAGCAGGTGGCATGGTGGTTAAGGCGCTGGACACGTCCACATGGCCGACCATGGTTCGAGTCCTGGTCCTGGTAGCTTGCTTTCTCACTTTCCCTCTCACTCTCTGTCTCTCTCTGGTCAAATCAAATGAATAAAAATTAAATAAATAGGAACCAGCAGTTGGCGTAATGGCTATGTTGCTGGACTCCCATGCAGTCAACTGCAGTTTGAGTCCCAGACCCAGAGGCTTAAACTCATGCCAGGTGCATGTGTGTGCATGCCCAAGATCCTGAGAGGAGAATGGAGGAGAAGAGATTGTGGCGTGGCCATCCCCCCTGGAGGGTGATTTCTTGCTTTCTGTCTCTCTGTCTTTTTGGCTAGTGCACGTGCCCTATAGCAAAAAACTCTACCCCCAAAAATTAAACAAATAATTCTTAAGAAAAAAAAAAAAGAGGGAGAGGGGGGAAAAAAAGACCAAACACTGACTTACTTCATGTATTTTGGGAAAATGTCTTTCCATGACATAAGTCTGAATAATCAGTCTGTCTGTCAGTCATGCTCTCAAGTAAAAAGTGTCAATAAAAAGTCCAGTTTAGGGGCCAGCAGGTGGCACATGGTTAAGGTGCCGGACTCCTACATGGTCAACTGCGGTTTGAGACCCAGACACAATGCCTTCAAACTCATGCCAGATGCATATGTGCACGTGCCCAAAGTCCTGAAAGGAGAACAGAGAAGGGACTACAGCGTGGCCATCCCCCCAGAGGGTGATTTCTCACTTTCTGTCTCTTTATGTCTCTTCGGCAAGCACATGTGCCCTGTAGCAAAAATCTCTCTAAAAAAAGAAAACAGTAAATAACAGTGTAGGGGTTAGCCCATGGTACGGTGGTTAAGGCGGCAGGATCTTACATGGCCAACTGCATAGCTGAAGTCCCAGACCCAGAAGCATGACAAATACCCCAGGCACACATGTGCGCATGTGCATGTGTTCCCAAAATCCTGAGAGGAGGGTGAAATGGAGGAGAAGAGACTGTGGAATGACCGTTCCCCATAGGAGGTGCTTTTTCATTTTCCCGCTCATGCTGGCTGTCTTTGGCAAGTGCCAGCGCCCTCTGCAATTTTTTTCTTTTTTAATTAAAAATAATAGCATAGATGGGGCCAGCAGGTGGTGTGGTGGTTAAGGGCACTGGACTCCCACATGGCTGACTGTGGTGAGTCCCAGACCAGGTGGCTTGCTTTCTTACTCTTCCTCTGTCTTTCTCTGACAAAATTCATGTGAAAATAATAATAATAAATAAATAAAATAATTATTTTTAAAAATAAAATAAATTATTGAAAGAGAAAAAAAAAAGAGAGAGAAGACTAGCATATTTGGGGACCAGCAGGTGGCGTGATGGTTAAGGTGCTGAACGCTTCCACATGGCTGACCACGGGTTGAGTTCCAGATCTGGTGGCTTGCTTTCCTACTTTCTCTCTTTCTCTTTCTCTCTGTGTTTCTGATCAAATTAAAATGAATGAATGAATAAATAAAATTTAAAAAGTAATTATTTAAAAAAGAAAAAGAATAGCGAATTTAGTGTGCAAATGTGGTAAAGGTGGCTGGATCGATGTGGCTGACTGGCTGTGCGATTTGTCTGAGTCCTGGGCCCAGTGGCTTAAAAACACACTGGGTGTGTATATGTGCAAGTCCAAAATCTCAAGAAGAGAATGGAGGACAAGGGATTGTGGAGTGGCTATCCCCCAGGGGGTGGGGGTGACTTCTAATTTTCTCTCTTTCTCTGGTGAGCCCACCCATCCTAGAGCAAAACTAAAACAAAGCAAAACCCCCACAACACTTACTAGGATACGCTGGTGCCATGGCCTTGGTACAAGCTCGGGCAGCAGCAATTCTACCACCAGTGCTTTGACAGCACCAGCGTGAACATAAACGTGGTGAAAACGCAGCCACATCTTAGCCTTCCCTTCCTGCTGCCCCCAAAATAGCTGCAGGGAGCTCAGAGGCCTGCGACCTGTTCTGAGAACTGCTGCTCTAAGGGATGAGTTGCTGGGTGACAGGCAAGTGACTGCTCCACTTGACCAGGTGGGCTCAAGTAGCCTTCCAAGGTGCTGTCCATTTACACGAGCTTAGCAACACAGAAAGGATTCCTGATACAGATACCGACCAATACTTGGGATCACCCTGTAGACAATCTACTGAGGCATAAGGTATTAACTGGGACACTGATTGGCTTATCCCAGATTACTAATGATGCAGGATTTCTTTTCTTAAAAAAAGATTTAGTTAGCTAGTTAGTTTTATTTATGGTTAGTTTTAAATTTCCCTATAGGGGTACATGTTAGAGAGAGTGAGAAAGTGAGAAAGCAAGCTGCCAGGTCCAGGACTCAAACCTTGTTTAGCCATGTGGGAGTCCAGTGCCCTAACTACCACGCCACCTTCTGGTCCTAATGATGTAGGATTTCACAGGTTTATTACCCGTATGTTTTACCTCCTATGAAAAATGCGTGATTATGTATTTTGAAGTATTTTTCTGAGTTATGTGTCCTTTTCTTAGTAACTTACAGTACTTTAGACATTCTGGTTGTGAACCACTTGGTTATTTGTGTTACAACTATCTTCTAGTAGTATGTAACTTTTTAAATTTTTTTTTTTTCTATTTCAATGTCTTATGGAGTCTTTTTTTTTTCTTTTGGAGAGTTTTTGTTTTGTTTTTGTTTTTGCTATAGGGCGCGTGTGCTTGCCAGACAGACAGACAGAAAGCGAGAAATCACCCCTCAAGGGGGATGGCCACCCCGCAATCCCTTCTCCTCCATTCTCTTCTCGCGATCTTGGGCCATCCTCCCTGGGGGGTGATTTCTCGCTTTCTGTTTCTCTATCTCTGTCTTTCTGGCGAGCGCATGCACCCTATAGCAAAAACCTCTCCCCCCAAAAAAGAATCATTCTACCGAACGTTGTGTGTGTGTGTGTGTACGTGTGTATGTATATGTGTATATATATACACATACACACATATATATATATATTTGACCAGAGTGGGCCAGAGAATGACAGAAAGAGAGAGGGAGGGAAAATGAGAAAGCAAGCTGCCAGGTCTGGGACTCGAACTGTGGCTGGCCATGTGGGAGTCCAGTGCCCTTAACCATCACGCCTCCTGCTGGCCCCAAGGTTCTTCATGTTTTAAATTTGCTACATGGCACATGTGCTTGTTGAGAGGTACAGAGGAAAGCAAGCAAGCGAGTAAGCAGCCCTCAGGGAATACAGCCAAGCTGCAATCCCTTCTCCGTTCTCTCAGGATTTTGGGCATACTTGCACACATGCTTGGTGTGTTTTTCAAACCACTGGGTCTGGGATTCAAACCAAGAAGTTGGTCATAGGGGATCCAGCAATTTAACCTCCACACCACCTGCTGGACCCCAAAGTTATTATTTTTTTAAATTGAATTATTGGTTTTAGTTTGTTACAGGGCCCATGTACCCACCAGAGAAGGGCAGAAACAGACAGAGAGAAAGTGAGAATCACCCCCTAGGCAGTGGGTCTGCTGTCTTAACCGCACCACCTGCTGACCCCTTTAATTTTTAACGTAGTCAAACTTCTCTTTTATAGCTAATGTTTCTGTAGTTTACTTAACAAGTCCTCCCTATTCCTAAGGTCAGAAAATCTAGTATTAGACTCTCTTCCACTGGTCAATTGCTTTCCTGTTACCATTATCTTAACTAATAACAAAAAAAGTTTATTTCTTCTTTCCACGAGAGAGAGGGCCAGCCATACCAGAGTCAGGTGGCTGATTCCCACATGGCTGACTGTGCGGTTCTAGTACCTGACCTGGTGGCTTGAGCAGCATGCTGGGAGCATGTACATGCCCACAAAGGGACTGTGGCATGGCCACCTCCTGGGGTATGTTTTCTCACTTTCGCACTGCCTCTCTCTCTCTGGTGAGCGCACATGCCCTATAGCAAAAAACTGGAACAGAGAGAAAGAACCCACTGGAGTTGTGGTCACGCCACAATTACATTCCCTCCATTTCTCCATCCTGTCAGCATTCGGGAAATGCACGTACACACGCCCAGTCTGTTTTCCAAGCTCCTGTGACCAAGATTTGAACAGCAGTTGGGAAAGTGGGCTCTAGCTCCCAATGCAAAGTGCTTAACAGCTGCGTGATGAAGCTGGCCTATAAAATGGCAAATTTTGTTACATATATTTTGCCACAACAAAAAACATTTTTAGGGCCAGCCCATGGGCCTGCTGGTTAAAACAGCTGGATCCCACATGGCCAACCACATGATTCAAGTCTCAGACGTGGCAGCTTAAAAACACTCCCGGCACATGTGAGTGGGTGCCCAAGGTCCCAAAAGAAGGGAGAAATGGAGAACGGATCACGGCACCACCATGCCCCGTGAGGGCTGACCTCCTGCTTCCCTTCCTCTTTCTCTCACAAATGCATAAGCCCTCTGGTAAATTTCTGTTATGGGGCACATGTGCTTGCCAGAGAGATGCAGAGAAACAGAGAGAGAGGAGAAAGTGAAAAATCACCCCCCAGGGGAATGGTCACACAACAATCCCTTCTTCATTCTCCTCTTGGGATTTTGGACACACAAACATGCAAGCCTAGAGTGATTTTTTAAAAGAATTATTTACTTATTTAATTACATTTGTTATTATTTTTTCATTTGACTAGACAGAGACAGAGAGAATGGGAAAGCAAGAAAGCGAGCCACCAGGTCTGGACTTGAACCACAGTCAGCCATGTGGGAATCCAGCACCTTTATCTACCACGCCACTTGTTAAGATTCTTAAGTTGCTGATCCAGGACTTGAACTGCATAGTCAGCCATGTGGGATCCAATGCCTTAATCAACACACCACCCTGCTAGTCCAAAATACATTTTAAAAAAATTATAGCATACCTCCTCCAGTGAAGTCTGATATAGACGCCCAGTGTTTACAGAACTGGCAGAAGTGAGGGTGACTGTGTTGCAATATGAAGACAAAGGCTTGAAGCCTATGGACGTGGTTCTCCCCTTGAAGGTTCGTCCCTCTCAACTTCTACTCTGAAACAGTGACAGGAAGCACTACAGGAGGGTGGAAGGAGTTTATCGGCACTCAGGAGACGGCCGGCTCCAACACTGCGCTTTTCCTGGAGGGCACAGGTGACCGTGCTGAGACTTTAGGAGTGGACTGGAGGTGATGAGGACTACTGTAGAAATGATACTTCAGAGGAGGTGCCCCGTCATTCTAGAAAGCGGCTTGGGGAACTGATAGCAGCAATAGGGTCTTAGAATGCCACAAGTCTTCACATTCACCTGGCAAAGCCCAAGTGGCCTTACTGTTAGGAAAGAAAAAAGAAGTGCTAAGGGGCTGCAGTGCCCTCCCGTGGAGTCCCGATCACCCCGTGCGTGGAGACTAGCAGGCAGAGGCCGTTCCTAACGCAGCACGGGGCCACTGTTCCCTTTTACCTGACACATGGTTCCTCATGACTGAGCCTGGGTTCTCTGGAGGCCATGCCCTCCTTCAAGCAGAGCTGACAGTGTAGCTGGAAAGGGAACTAGGCTGTGCTTCTTTAGTCACCATGGTGACAAGAAGACTATCACAAATATTTGCTTATGACTTCACTGGAGAAGCAGGCAGGGAGGTTAGATCGGAAGGAGGAACATCTGCAGAAGCACATCTGGCATAGCAACCCAAAGAAGACTGGGTATCTCAAGGACCTTGCAGGCCAGGGGGCTTTTTCCATCATGCACTTCCTTGCTTGCTTGGGCTGGATCGAGGAAACGTCTAATACAAATAAACCTCTTCTCATCCATGGCTGTCTTAGACAATCTGTGGGTTTTCTTAGTCAAGAACTTCCTTCAAAGTGAAGAGTTCCCTGGGAACCAGCAGTTAGCGTAATGGCTATGTTGCTGGACTCCCACGTAGTCGACCGCGGTTCACGTCCCGGACCCGGTGGCTTAAAACTCACGCCGGGTGCGGGTGCGTGTGCGTGCGTGCCCAAGATCCCGAGAGGAGAATGGAGGAGAAGGGATTGCGGCGTGACCATCCCCCCTGGGGGGTGATTTCTCGCTTTCTGTTTCTATGTCTCTCTCTGTCTGTCTGGTGAGTGCACACGCCCTATATTGAAAAATCTCCACACACACAAAAAAGTGAAGAGTTCCCTGAAGATGTAACTCCCATCTCTAGGGAGTAAATGCCTAATACTGCTGTGCATTCTCGAAGCGCTCAGAACCAAGGGACTAGCAACAATAACGCAGTGACAGGTGTGGGCCTGTAAGGCCGAACCGTGTAGCCCCAAAGTCCTAACTACTCAGCATGCCAGAGTGTGACTGGAAGTATAGAGCCCTTAAGGAGGCAATTAAGGGGAATAAGGTTTTCCTGGGTAGGCATTAATCCAATAACTGGTATCCTTAAAAGGAAAAGGGGAGGGGCACGTGGTTGAGGCGCTGGATTCCCACATGGCCAACCACAGTTAGAGTCCTGGACCCAGCAGTTTGAAAATCACACTAGGCACGTGTGTGTATGTGCACAAACCCCCAAGAGAATGGAGGAGGAGGGATTTCAATGCAGCTATCCCCCTTGGGAGGTGATTTCTAAATTTCCCTCTCTCTGACAAAGCACAAGTGCACTATAGCAAAAACCTACAAAAAATAATAAGGGAGAAGACCATGTGAACATGAGCATAGCTATCTAGAAGCCAAGGAGAGAGGCCCCAAAGAAATCAATACTTTGGGGCCAACAGATGTTATGGTGGTTAACTTTCTCATTTTCCCTCTCCTTGATCAAATTTTTAAAATAATAATAATAGGGGACCAGCAGCTGGTGTGGTGGTTAAGGTGCTGGACTGCCACATGGCTGACCATGGTTCAAGTCCCAGACCAGGCGGTTTGCTTTTTGCTTTCCTTCTCTCTCTCTCTCTCCCTTCCTCTCTGGTGAGTTCACATGCCCTACAGCAAACTAAAATAATAGTAATAAATAAAAGTAAATAATTCTTAAAAATCAACACCTCAAACTTCTAGCCTCAATACCGTGAGTAAGTAAGTTTGTTACTTAAGGCACCCAGTCTGCGGGACTTTGTTAAGACAGCAGTACTTGGGGCTGGCAAGTGGTGTGGTGGGTAAGGTGCTGGACTCCCAGATGACTGACCACAGTCTGAGTCCTGAGCCTGGTGGCTTGCTTTCTCACTTTCCCTCTCTGCCTCTCTCTCTCTCTAGCTCTGTTCCGTTCTAGTCAAGTTAAACATAAACAAATAAAGCTAAATTAAAAAATAATTCTTTAAAAAAGATCAAATTCAGGGGCCGCAGGTGGCATGGTGGTTAAGGTGGTTGGCTGTGGTTTGAGGACTAGACCTAGCAGCTTGCTTTTCACCCTCCCTTCGCAACTCTCTCTGGTCAAATTAGAAAATAATAATAATAAATCAAATTAAGTAATTATTTTAAAAATTATTAAAGGGAAAAAAAGGAAATTAGATTCAGAGATGTCATGATTTGCTCAAGACAATTCAATTCTTAAATTGTGAAAAGTCTCCATCTTCTCACCCAACCTCGGATAATACTTCCACCTCTCCACAACACAGGTTCAGTCTGACTCCTGACCTTAGACTACTTCTGCCTAGCTTGATTTAAAAAATAATTTTAAATCTCAACAACTCTGCATTGCTCCCTCCTGCTTAAGAACCTCTGTTCTCTGGAACCAGCAGTTGGTGTAATGGCTATGTCGCTGGACTCCCATGTAGTCAACCGCAGTCCAAGTCCTGGACCTGGTGGCTTAAAACTCACGCCGGGTGCCTGTGCGGGTGTGGGCATCCCACCCTGGGGGGTGATTTCTCACCTTCTGTCTCTCTTTCTGGTGAGCGCACACACCCTACAGCAAAAACCTCTCCAAAAAAAAAAAAAAAAAGAACCTCTGCTCTGCCCACTGGATTTTGTTTTAAAAACACAGCTTTATAACACGAGATTTTATTTTGAGTGAGTTCTCATCCTAGATCACAAATACAACCAACTACAAAACGGAAGTCCACATGTGGACTAACATCGGCAACATAAGAATTAGCTAATCCAAATTTTCCCCAAAGTAGATAAAGCCAGTCATGATGCCAGGATTTGAAAGGCGGAGAGAGAACACACACTACCCATGACAGAATAAGAAATTCGAGTATCTCAAAGATGCTCTTTCTAAACGTACCTGGCCCCGTTTCTTATCAGACACTAGAGAAAGAAAAACACATTGCCACCAATTGGCCTGTGTTCCTGCCGGCTCACCTACACAGTGACGGTGAGCGAGTACCAGCTGACGGCACTTCGGCAGTGCTGATTCCCCCGACTCTCGCGACACTGCAGAAGCAGTCCAGGAGTCCCACCAGCCGCGGCCGGCACGGAGGAGCAGCCAGATGCTGTGAGTGCATCTTTTCATTTACTCTTCACTGCGGCCCGTTTCTCAGTTCTCTTGAACAGTCAAACTACTTTTCCTGCCCTCTTTATTATGAAGCATCTAAACGCTGGAGGTTTGAGACATTACAATAAACATCTCTTAATTCTCCACTCAGATTCAAATGCTTTGGGAGGAGCTGGGAGTTAAGCACCATGAATAGGGTGGTGGAGCCCACATGGTGGACCGCAGTTTGAATCCTAGCCCATGGAGCCTGAAAAACATGCCAGGTGTGTGTACATTTGTGTCCAGAATCCTGATGGGATAGAGAAATGGAAGAGGACTCCAATATGCACAGCCCATCAAGGGGAGCTTTCTCTCTGGCAAGTGCATGTGCTTTCTAGCAATTAAAAAAAAAAAATTCAGCACATTCTGGACTCAATAGAGATGGGGGAGCACACAGGATTGGGGGGTGAACTGGTGTGTCATGCTCCAACACATTTCCCATTTTTACATCCTGGTGTGGTTTTGAAACATACACATATGTATCCCAGCATGTTTTCCTTTTCTGTTTTTTTTTTTAATTATTTAACTTTATTTATTTTAATTTGACCAGAAAGGAATGGAGAGAGTGAAAGAGAAATTGAGAAAGCAAGCCTCCAATTCCAGGACTTGAACTGCAGTTGGCCATGTGGAAGTCCAGCACCCTAAACCACCACGCCACCTGCTGCCCCCCCCCTTTTTTTTAAAAGAGATTTTTTTGCTGGGATCAGCAGTTAGTGTAATGGCTATGTCACCGGACTCTCACGTAGTTGACCGCAGTTCGCGTCCCGGACCCAGTGGCTTAAACACACTGCAGTCCCCTCCTCCATTCTCCTCTTGGGATCTTGGACACACACTCACACGTGTCTGGCATGAGTTTAAGCCACCAGGTCTGGGACTTGAACTGCAGTCGACTACATGGGAGTCCAGTGATATAGCCATTACGCCAACTGCTGGTCCCTTCTTTTTTTTTTAGGAGATATTTTTGATAGAGGGCATGTGTGCTCGCCAGAGAGAGACAGAGACACAGAAAGTGAGAAATTGCACACCTCCCCCGAAAATGGCCATGCCACAATCTCTTCTCCTCCCTTCTCAGATTCTGGGCACACACTCACACGCACCAGTTTTGTTTTGTTTGTTTGTTTTTGTTCTGTTATGTTTTTTAGAATTATTTTATTGAACTTTACTTATTTATTTATATATTCACTTATTTATTTTAATTTGACCAGCGATGGATAGAGAAAGTGAGAAAGCAAGTCACCAGATTCAGGATTCAAACTGCAGTGGGAGTCCAGGACTCAAGAATGGCTGTCAACTACATGGGAGTCCTGTGATGTAACTATTATGCCATCTGCTGGCCCCACCCCACCATGTTTTCAAGCCATTAGGCTGGGCTTCAAGTTCAGCTGGCATCGCGAATTTGGCTCCCTTAACTACTAGGTTACTGGGCTGGTCCAATTCAGCAACTAATACCATGTATGTTTCATTCTGTCAGATGTACATGATATCTCTCTGTGTGTATACATACATACATATATGTATATATATGTGTATATCTATATACATACATACATATTATATATATATATATATATAAATATATAAATATAATTTTTTTTTAAAGTTTCTTGCCATAGGGTGTGTGCCCTCACCAGAGACGAATGGAAAGAGACAGAGAGGAAATGTGAAAAATCACCCCTCTGCCCCAGGTTGGTCGCACTGCAGTTCCTTCTCTTCTATTTTCCTCTTGGGATTTTGGCCACGCGTGTGCACACACACATGCCTGGAGTAATTTTCAAGCTGCCCAGTCTGGGACTTAAACCATTGTCAGTCATATGGGAGTCCAGCACCTTAGCCACCATGCACCTGCTGGCTCCTAAATATTTTTTTTTAAATTAAGCGTTTAAAAGTTGCAAATGTCCAGAGTTGGCACTTCACTTGGTCTACATTCTGTGTACTTTTTTTTTTTTTTGGAGAGGTTTTTGCTACAGGGTGCATGCGCTCGCCAGACAGACAGAGAGACAGAGAGACAGAAAGCGAGAAATCATCCCCCAGGGGGGATGGCCATGCCGCAATCCCTTCTCCTCCAGTCTCCTCTCAGGATCTTGGGCACACACGCACACACGCCCAGCGTGAGTTCAAGCCACTGGGTCCG